AGCCACTAGGGCTTGTGGGAGGAGCCCAGACCTCATCCTCTCCCTGGGCGGTGGGTGCATGATCCTTGTACATGGCACGCAGTGCTTGGGGTGAGCACTTTGTAGGATTAATCAACTATTCGGTGAAAGTGTTTTCAAAAGAAGTAATTGGGATGACTTGCTGCTAGGCACTGGCTTCTGCTTACTGGGGCTCCAGGGTTGGGGAATGTGGTCCAGACCTGTGTGATTCCTGTCGGAGGATGGAGAGGAGGAAGTGCCAGAGTATGAACACAGATTCTGAAAGGTTTGTAACATCTTCTGCCAACATGTTTTTTGAATCAGCCTTGCGTGAACAAGCGAGAGCCCGGAAGAGCTGTGTCATCCTTGAAGGACAGCTGGGCTTGCTGGGGGGCTGCTACATTTGGGATGGGAGACAAAGGGTTGCTGCCACTGAGGGGGGAAAAATATATGCTGGTGGGGTTGCTGGCTGCTCCACAGGCTTTGTTAGCACCTTGCTTTCTGCCCATGCTGTGCTTGCCTGTTCCCTGTTGGAGGGAATGGAGCTGATGGAGTGCACCCAGGCTCCTTGCCATACAGGTGGTGTTGGGAGGAGATAGTGGCTCAGGTGTTGAACCCTCTACCTGCCCCTAGATGTCCTCTGGCCTCAAGGAGGTCTCAGTGCCTTCTCCAGGCTGTCCCCTCTCCCCCCCTGCATTCCAAACTGAGCTCCTCCCAGCATCCTGGGGAACAAGCTGTGGGGGTGGCCATGAAGTGCTGGAGCTGAGGATGGCAGTGAGAGCTGAGATGACATGCTGGAAACGTAAAGAACTTTGTGCTGAATCCACCTGGTCATCCTTCTCCTCGTGGCACATCACCTTCTGCCCTGCCTTGGTCCCAGTGGAGACTCCAGGGACAAGGACAGATAATAGTGGGTAGAGGTGGGACAAGAGAAGCAATAAAGGGGCAGGTAAATAATTTATTTTAAGGGGCAGCTGGCTTTATGCAGGTAAAACCAGTGCTATACCAGCAGGTTCCCCAGTCAGTCGATCCCCATGGGTGTTGGTGGAGCAGTGCTCAGCTTCCCCTGTAACACCACTGTTGGAGAGAGGCAGTCGAACTCCTTCCCCCTTTTAAGCCGTACCTGTGCTTTGTAGGTGTGTTTCAGTGCATTTTGGTCTGGTCTTTGTGAAGGGATCCATTATAGCAATCCCTTTTCAGTGCCTGGAGTCCTATTTTCTACCTCCACTGGATCATGTCCTGGGCTTCAAAGCCTACAGGGAGCAGTGACCCATTTTATTACACTGTCATAAAAGCAATGGCCTTTCTCTGTTCCTGTATAAATAATAAATAGTAATTATATTTGTACATGGAGGCCTGCCAGAGGCCATGAGTAGGAGACTTGAGATTTACTTTGAAAAAAAAAGAAGAAAACAAGAATCCTGACAGCTTTTTACCTGGCTGCACAGCTGTGCTGAAAGAGGTGCCCTGCAGATCAAAGGGAAGCCGCTCCTGTTCTCCCCAGGTGCTGCAATGCTTCACCTATTAGAGCAGATATTAATTATCAGGCAGCAGTGCTATGAACAGCACAAATGTGCACTTTGCTCTTCAGAGGCTAGGGAAGCCAGAAGGATGCCAGATTAGATTTAGGAAAGCACATATGGATGTGTTGCCTTCTTCAGCCTTCCTCCATTGCTCTGGAGGAAGACAGAAAGCACGGCTGTGGACAATCACAGCTGTAGAAGCATAATTGCAATTGCTGTCTGAGAGCTGCTTAGTGCTTCTGATAATCCTTGAGACCTGCAGTGAGTGACTACAGTATGAAAGGATAGTATTTGGGGGCAGGGATAGAGCATAGGAACAACTCTGCAGAAGGATTGAAAAAAACACCACCTCTAACCTTTCAGTGTTTACATTTCACTGAGGGAAAAGATGGTCTGAGGCAAAAGCACAAGTTCAGAGTAAAGCCCAGATTTCCCCATATGGGATTTCAGGTGTTTGGAAAGTGTCTCTTGTGCAAAGTCCTATACCGTGGCTTTCTCTAAAGGCTGAGATGCCACTGTACCTCAGCTCTCAACCTTGTCACTGGCCAGAACTACAGAACCAGTCCACTGACAGCAAACTCCACCAGTTCACTTCATACGTTCAAAGGGATGTCTAGCTTCTGGGAACGTACTGGGAAGGTGACAGCAGTGAAGTCTCATTTCAGTGCTGGGATCAACTGTGTTTCAGAAAAACCTCCCTCTAAACCTCATACACTGCGTAACAGATGGCACATCTGTTTCTATTTCCAGCATGATCTCACTAATCACTTTTTAAGAATCTAGCATCCAGGGTTAATCAACATGAGCTGAATTACAGTAAAGGTTCCTACAGCAATGGAAAAATCCTGTGCAGCTCCCTTTCCTCAAGTTATCCTCTTGGATAGTGAGGTTCATCCTCTGTCTGAAATCTGCCCAAAGCCTCAAGATCCCTGAAAAGCCAGGGCCTCTCTCCAAAGAGCTTCTGCCTCTCTAGGCCTTTGTCTATTTGACAAGGCAGATCTGGCAATAATTGATTTTCTGTTTGGTAGTCAAACTAAAAGCTAAAAATGCACGATACAGGTCAACACCAAAGCCCTCACAGGAATGGAAGGGCAGATTCCCAAGGAGACTTTGTCCTCAGCCCCAAGGCCTATGAAGAGAAGCTATCATCCATTGTAACCCACTGTCTACAACATAGGCTCAGAGCATAGGATGCAAATTCAAACCCCTTCTGTTTCTCATATGGAAAAGTATTTTAAAAAATGTTTCCTTGAAGCAGTATCACACCCAGTGTGCCAGGCAGCACCTGAGGCATGTTGAGAGAGAGGAGAGCAAGGCAGGAGACTGGCTTAGCCTGGCCATGCATATGCTGATCAGTACAAACAGGCCAGAGCAGAATGGCACTGCTGAGCTCACAGGCACCGTGCCTAAAGCTTACTTCCTGAGGATAAAATTTGTCTTGGAAACAGGTATTTGTAGTGATCAAGATTTGGTTACTTAATTTCCATATAGAGGATTTTTAGCTACTATCATTGGTGTCTCTATGCCTTTGTCTTCAGGACACAAATCTTTATGATCCCATCAGGTTATGCCATCTGTTGTCTTTTATGTTTTAAACACCTTCCTAGGGACAAGTACAAACACAGCAATGTTAATGTTTGTTACCAGGATATGGCAATGGGTCTTCACAGGTGGTTTAGTTGAGAATGGCCACAAGTCACAGAATCACAGAATGGCTTGAGTTGGAAGGGACCTTAAAGATCATCTGGTTCCAACCCCCCACCATGGGCATGGATGCCACCCAGTAGACCAGGTTGCTCAGAGACCTGGATGTCCTCTGAGGACAAACTCCTTGGCCCTGATTTTTTCCCACCTCCATCACCATAGGCACCAACATCCGTCACCAGAGTCCCCCAAAGCCCACTGGAGTCATAACAGGCTGTTAAAACGGCAGCCTCGGTACTTGTAGGTTGAGTACAGCCAGTGGGGGTGACAGCCACATGTTTGTAGGTATGCTTCTTTTAAAGCTGATTTATTTCAACAGGGCTTTTACAGTGTCCAGCTAGCAGTGGTGGCCAGCAGTGTCCAGGATGAGAAGACACTGGGGCTGGTGAGGGACTCCTGGAACTCTTTGGGGACCACCTGGGTTAACCTGCTTTGGCCGACCCTGCTCGAGCAGAGGCAATCTTGGCCTAGGAATCTCCATTCAGTGAGATTTATTTAAACCTCTGTCATTAAAGCACAGTTATTTTAAAGTATTCCATCAATTCTCAATTCAGTACAGGAAATGTGGCTTTCAAGGCCAACAGCACATTGAACCTTTACCTGTCTGTGATGTCAGAGATTCAGAGGGGCTTTAACATCTTAACAAACCAGGGAGTACAAAATGTGCCATACAAGTCAGATGTTTCTATGCAACAACCATATGATCCAAAGTTTCTCACACAAAACCAATTGCTGTCTGGACAGAGTGGAGCCAAGTCAGTGTGATTCAAGTTTTTAGAGTCAATTTTGTAAAACATCAGAAGGAGTTACTTAGTGCCACCCAGTGTTGGCAGAAAGAAAAAAGAAGGTTAAATATGATTGCAACTGGGTGTAGCCCATTGAAACAGGAAAAAAATCCCAGCTCTTGCTTTCTGTATCAGGGGTGAGTAATTCCACAGAAAACTGTGTAGCATTGACGTCCAGGAGATAGGTGTCCTAGAGCTGAAATGAGGCTTAGCCACCTTGCTAAAAAACCCTACTGCTTTGTATCTTCACTTTTCAAAGCAGGTAATCAGTTTGAGATGCAGATGGTCCCTTTTGTCATAAGACTCACTCCCCTAGTCTGACATCAGTGTAAGTGAGAAAGTTGTGCTGACTTTTCTGGTTAGGTGCTCAGGAGTTTAGATGAGAAACAACTATATAAGATGTATAACTTTCCTAGAATAAATAAATACAGTTAAACATTACCTTTTCCCCTCTTTGTCTCAGATGTTGCACATGACCTGACTTTTCCTTGAATCCTTTAAAATTATATAGGATCTCATGTATATCAGACATGAAAATACTCTCCCAGTTAGGATCTTTGGATGGCTGAATAACTGCACTTATGCTTTTGTCCTTCAAAGGACTATATAGAATCACAGAATGGTTTGGGTTGGAAGACACCTTAAAGATCATCTAGTTCCAATCTCCCTGCCATGGGCAGGGACACCTTCCACCAGACCAGGTTGCTCAGAGCCCCATCCAACCTGGCCTTGAGCATTTGAACACGTCACGGTCCCATTTAACAGCTATGGAAAGTGAGATGCTGAGCAGGCATTGTCTTCCCCATCGGATGGGAGAGCTAGGGCATGGCCAAGGGGGAGTGGAGGAGACCTGGAGCCAAAAAGCCAAGTGGGAAAGCTGGGAAGGGGAAAGCAAGGCCCTGAGATACCTCAAACCCATCAGATACTGGTGGGTCAGGGCTTTCCAGGGTTGTGGCTTCACCTGTTGTGTCCATGGCAGAGAAATCCTCCTTCTACTATTTTGGGCTCCTTCACTTTGCTCTGAAGTATTCTCATTGCCCAGAGGGAAAAAACCAGACAACAGTGGTTTGAGTGGTTCTCTGCCAGTTCTTTATTATTTCAGCCCCTAGAAGAAAAATGCCGAGGGGAGACTGACACAGGAGTTTATCTCAGATTGATACAACAAAAACCCAACATCAAAGGGCAGGGTGGCTGCCCTTTGAAGCCACATCACCTCCATGAGCTTCCATGCTGGTGCTCCATGTTTCTGGGAGGGAGGGCTCCCTACTGACATTTTAACTTTTTTCCCACCCATGAAGCCATCTACCAGTCACACAGCCGATCCCTTGGATTTCTGCCTGCTGACAAGTCTCCTTTCTCACTTACCTTTCACTGAGTGCTGGGAAATAGGCCAGGCAGTGCAGCCACACGTTACGTGCTGAAAATTCCTCTTCTCGGGCCAACACACTCGGGGTGTTTTTTTCTTTTCTTGACAGTCTCGTGAGGTTCCTGGGGGATCTGGGAGCTGGGTTGGCTCTGCTGGCTCCAGCTGAAAGACCTCCATGATCATTAATTGCATCTGCCTCACTAGGGCCCTACATATCCTAGGTGCTCTCCACAGCAATGAGAATCTCTGTCCTCCTCCTACAGAGCTCATAATTTAAAACCCAAGGCAGAAAATCACTAATTCCTGTGACGACTGCTCAGCTTGTGCCTCAGGAATTCATCAAAAAGATAATTTTCCTAAAGAAGGCCACAGTACACAGTATGCACAGAAGGAGTTGGTGGAAGAAGGAGACCAGACAAATACAGCATTCTTGGGAAGAAAAAAGTATCTGTGTGTATCCCCCCAGTTAGGAAGGTTTACAGCGTAGGTTCACAAAGAGAGACAGTCTCTGCTCCGGAGGTTTTACAGTCCCAGCAATCAGAATGAAATAGAAGGAATGGGAAAGGCAGAAGCAGGAGACCTGTCAGTCCCTGTGTTACACAGAACAACTCTGCTCAGTTTGCAAGTCTGAGGCATTTTTAAGCCTATAAATAAACTGGGAACGTTAATGATGCCATTAATCTCCACTGGCTGCCGTCCCAGCTATTTTCAGTGGCGAGGTTACCTTGCTTCTCCCAGCAAAAGTAGGTCTCAAGGGGAGGGTCAGGCGAGCAGTGGGGATGGATGCTTTGTGCCCAGGGCCGGGGCCAATACCCTCGGTGTTGGGACACTGCCACCATCCTTGGCAGCCCACAAGGAGGAGGTGTCCCAAGTGCCAGCACGAAACAGACAAAAACAGACATCAGATAATAAATGATGGGAAAAAGCAGAGTGCTGCTGGCTGCAGAGGAAAGCCTGCGACTGCCCCAGCCTGCAGCCCCTATAGCAAAGGTGTCTTCTCCATCTTCTGCAAGGAGATACCTCGATGGAGACCCTCTGCTCCTCTGTAGCTGCTGGGAGCCTGCTGCACCACCTCTGCCTTTCCAAGGACAGAAAGTGGTGGGGCTCAGAGCTACAGAACAGGGGGGAGCCCAGGAGGGGACAGGCCAGGGTATCCCAGCACACTAGCCCAGGGCAGGGAGTGGATGGGGTGCAGGTCCCTGAGGAGAAGAAGGTCTGCCCTGAGACAGCTTCTTGCCCATCACTCCAATAGTCATTGCTTCCCTCATAGGGAGAGGGAAGACCTCCCTTTTCTTTCCACCCAGGGGGAGCAGGAATGTCATAAACCTGGACAGCAAAAGGTGCTTTTCCTCCTTTCCACAAACACCAGGGAAAAAAAAAAAAAAAAGGAGGTGGATACGTGTTGGTCTTCCATTCTTGCATGAAGCCAAACTGAGATGGGTCAATATAGAGGTGTCCCAGCACATCCTTATGTTTGCAGTCTGGTGTGATACAAGAAAAGCTCTGTCTCTGCTTTTCACTAAGGTCTCACTATGGAATCCTGTGATGAGAGAAGTCCCAGGACAACATCTGCCAAGGAAAAGAAGGAAAAGAACAGCCCTGCACCTGACCTCAATGCTTACATTGCACCCAGAACTGGTTTGCCTCTAGACAATACAGCTCTGAGGTTCATCTTACAAGTATACCATGCATTTGTTTATTTTATTATTTTTAGTACAATATGTCAGGAAAAAATATTATTCCTAAAAGAAAATGAAGTTCACACTTACTGGAAAAAGGTGCTTTCAAAAATCAAACCTACACATTGCTTTCCTTTGACCTGCCCGCTCAGACATCCAAGACAGTTGTATACCACCACAGAGGGTTAGAGAAATTAATGTTCCAGTACCACCAGAAAATAACACTGGCCAGTTTTTCTTTTCTCTTCTGCAACAAGCTCAAGATGTTGAGACATTCATCAAGAAATATTACAAAAGAATTCGTTCACACTCTGGTCCCAGGTGACATGTGGCTGCTGTACCTATTAGGACTTACTCTCCCTAAGCATTCACTGGCATAGGATTCAGTTTTCCAATCTTCTCAGGAAGTACCTACTGTTTTTTGTTCTTTGTGTTGCTTAGTGTTGTTTCCTGAATTCTTATGTCTATAGTGGTCTGAATGCCTTTATAATGTACCAACTAGGAAAAATTAAGAGAAATTTGGATATTTTTCTTTTCTTAACAATGATATTTTGGGGCCAAAGTCAGCAACTTCTCTGTGGAAGATCCGGTCTGCATGACCTGGATTGAAGCTCACAAACAATGCAATCTGTTCTTCCTCAGGAACTGCTATAAAATGCATTTAATTTACTTGAGTTTTGCTGTTTTCCCTCAGTTACATCCACTGGACAATCTGAAAGCACTGCTGATGCTATGGCTTCCATGCTGCACCTGCTCTCTACCCTCTTCTAGGGGACATGCAGGATATGATCATTGGTATAAACTGCAGGAGCATCACTCTCAGTAGGGAACTGGGGGAAGAAAAGGCCCTCAAAGGTATTCTGGGTCTGGAGAAACAGCATGTCCAATAAGGAACGAACTTGAAACTGCAATCTTGCACAAGATACACAGAGATACTTCAGACAGACTTAAACATTCACCTTGACAAATTAATCAGCTTGTCAAGCAAAGGAAGTCATTGTGGTCAGAGTGGTCATGGAAGGTAACTAATACTCTCCATCTGCAGCATCGGTCAATTAAGGACTTAATATATTACCAGAGAGGAGAATTGAGATGTAAGAGAAGAAAACATATACACAGCAAAATATAAAGGCAAGAAAATGGAAAAGAAATGCCAGAAATATTTCATATTGACCCAAATAAATAACAACCTCAAATGAATTGGTTCAGGCTTGTTTCATATGGTAAAGATACAGGCTAAGCCAAGCAAATTGTCTCAGGCTAGTAGCACAGAAGAAATTATCTCCCTAGAGCAAAAAAGGCATCTGTTTATTTATCTCAGTTATGAAAATGTCCTTGCCAGATATTGGCTGAGCTCTCTCAGGTCACTTACCTCCTCCCAGCTTCAGAAGAGACCCCTAAACCACTATCCCTGCAAACACAATGAATCTGCACATCCTGAGCAGTTATCCCTCTTCTCCCCAGGAGCACTGAACTACCTGAGTGGTTTCAGAAGGCACAGACCTTCCCTATGCCTGGAAAATCCTGCTACAGAAAAATGTGCCTGCTACTAGTAGTAATACTGGAAGAGATCCCTGCACTCCCCTGAAGCCTCACTTGCACAGAATCACTCTGTGGGGACAAGGTTACATTAAAAGTGCCTTTCATGGCAATAGCAGGCAAAATAATTCCTCTTTGCTGACCCCACTGCTGACCCCAGAGCACGGCTCTGTTCCAGTGCTTTCTGGCATCAGAAGGGAAATACAGAGGACCAGGGTCCACAACTGATCAGTCATAAATAAAATCCAGCAAAAACTTGTTGTTACTTAGAAGAAATCACCAAACAAAGAAAAACCTAAGTCAGGGAGTTCCCTGCTTTGCACATCAATGATGAGGTGATGCACTGCAGCTCAGAAGTTGGAGGGAGCAGCTAGAGAGGTTGGAAGGAGGAGGGAGCAGTGGGCATTGCTGCCAAAGTTTAGCCTCAGACTATGGCCAGTGTTTCCACATTTCCACAAGGATAGGGAGCAGGGTGACACTGTCTCAGAGAGGCAATAGGTGGATCGAGGTGGGAGAGCTGAGCTCTGCACCCAGGTTTAAGTGAATTGATACACACAAGCCCTGACTGACAGCACTGGCGTCTCCAGGAAGGCCTGAGGACTCACACCTGCTCTACACATTTTAGGCAGAAAGAAAAGTAGTGATTCATCAGATCAGTCATAAAAATATGAAATTCTCTTTTGTTAATGCTGACAACTAACTCTTATGTTTACCTGGGACCATGGGTCCTGATGCCTTTCCTCAGGGATACTCAGGTATGCGGCAGTGGAAGCCCATTTTCGCCTTCTATAGCACCAGGATGATTCTGTGCTGGCCAAGCAAGAAAATGATGTTGGTGCTCTGGTTCTAAGTAAGTGCTGAACAGGACACAAGAACACTGGAAATGCCCACAGCTGCATAAATGTGGCATTCCAGTGTGCCCTGAAGCAGCAGAGCCTCCTCCTGCTCCTGGTCTGAGCGGACTGCGTTAGTTAGTTTGAGTTTCTCAGGGTCCTGGAGGAGACATTAGAGGGTTGTGAGATTCAGTCTCTAATTAGGTCCCTGTAGTGGTGAGATTGCTTCCTTTATAATCACTCAGTGGGAACTAGTACTTTATCCTCTGTACTCAAATTTTTATTTCTTTCACCCTCATTTTCTCTCCAATGCCTGGAATCTCCAGTCCACTGGATGACAGCTGCAAAAGCCTCTGACATTCACTTTAAGGATGATTCTTTTAAGCTGCTTCACATTTCCTTCTGACAAGCTCTTCTAGTGATATTTACTGCAACTAATGAATTAACTCACAGCTAGACCACTTGCTAGCCTTTTCAATCCAGAGCTGTTTTAAATCTTGATTAGCTCGTTTGATTTGTAAATCTCACAGGACTGCTAAGTCCAAGCTGTTCTGTCTTACTCTGTGTTCAGGAGACAGTTCCCAGTTATGCAGAACAGCAGTACATTCAGGGGGACTCCACCTCTCCAGCAGGTAGAAAAACAATGTATTATCCAGAGGAAGCTGCTCAGTTCACAGGGAAAGTTATTTAGATAACTGGAAAAGAAAAAGTCTCACTAATTTAAGCGTCTGTGAAAAACAATGCAATGCAACATTTCACAAGCATCTTGCACAAGTGATATTACACAAATGCACCTTTCTCCATATTTTTGCAGATCCTCTTTTCTGTTTCTAGCTTCTGAGCACATCCTTAGTAGTCCAGCATTTCAAATTAGGGTCCTTATTTGAGTTTCAACATGAAATTAGTCTAATTTGTATATATTCTGCCCTCTCAAGTCCAAAGCTTCTTATAGGGATCAGCAGGTGTTCGGCTCTTGTGGCTGTCAGGTCATTTGCATTTTGGCAACCAACTGTGGGTTTAGGCACCTGATTTTCAGCGATTTGACTCCCAATTCTAAAAATTTGTCCTGGAGGTAAGCAGCAAACTGGAATTTGCAGCCCAGAGTACAGGAACATGCTAGTTATGTAGTTGCCTAAGTTCAGGCTGAAAAGTGAATGCACATGGACGCTCTTCACTTGTCTGAAGACTTACAGCAAAACAGGAAGTTATTAATATAAGAGCCCGAACTGGCTTGAGAGTCAAACAATATCAAACAAAAGGTGTCACCCCCTTTTCCTGTTTATCTCTTGCTAGTTTAGAAGACAGGGGAGATAAATAGTCAATGAGTTTCTCAATTTGGTGCAACAAGACAGTTGAAATCAAACTGGCAGACTGTACATCATCACAGTAAATATATGGCATCTCTCTCTTCAAGACCTTAAAGTTTTTGCTGTACTTTTAAACAAACAGGCAACCTGTTTTGAAATGATGGGGTGTAGCAGGACAAAAGAATGCAGTGCAATAGCATTCAAGAGTTTAGACAAAGTGAGCAATAAATGAAACTACAGGGGAGGGTAATCGGCTGGTTTGATATAATTATCTCAGGAAAACACTGGAACTAAAGAACTTCCTCCTCAGAAAGTGTCATTTGATTTTCAAATAACACAGGTCATTAGGACTACAGTTCCATGTTGTGTCTGCATGATGGTTTATCAAAGCAGGATCAAATTATGCCAGGGTCCTGAGAGGAAGCTCTAGGGTAAAGAAAAAATACTGTGCAGGCTGGCTTACCACAACACAGTGTAAAATGAGCAAAACTTGCTGGACTCATGGCCCAGCCTCATCACATCAACACAGCAAAGCCCAGACTGCACTTAGCCCTCCGTTTTCACTGCTGGTGAATACAATATTTTCTTTCAAACAAGGACAATTTTAAAAATTGTCTTTTCTAAAAGGGAACTGGACACAGTCCCTCCTTGAAAGATGAGATTGACCAGGGAACTCTGCACTGAACTGCATTTAGCATTGGGGAAAATGGAGTGCTGACCTGTTGGGATGTGGGGCCATTGGGTGCCTGAGCTCTACATGTTTCGTAAGCCACTGTGGAGGTAACAGAACCTGTGAGCTGCCTTCCTGACCTCCATATTCTCAGAGGATTTCTCAGAAGACTCATGCTGGGCCCAGAAAAGCTGGTACTGAACAGACAAAAGGTAAACTCCAAGAATATTTATTTGGTTTGACTTAAAATTGGGAAGGTGATACTTCCCAGTGTAAGTTGGGTTTTCTTTAAAAAACTAAACACAAAACACTATCAGTAGGTGTCAGTTCCCTTGGAAAGGTTTCCTTTGTCTTGAAGGAACAAGAGGACTAATGTAAGGACTAATTTTTTGGGTTCTTTCACTCTTTCAGAGTTATCTGGAGGTTTGGGCCTCTTTTTTTTTTCCCATACTGTCTTGCTGAGCCACTCACAGCTATGCAAAATAAGTGTCTAGAAGGTGATCACTCTCACAGAACCCTATGCCTCTCAATTTACACTAGA